CGCTCCGCGCTGGCCGGAGAGTCGGCTCGGGACCGGGGTCCCTGGCCTCGGAGGGACCTTAGCGCCCGCCCCGCCTGTGCCCTGCTCCGCTCAGCGGAAAGCCGGGGAGAGGGCAATCACCTTTCCCTCCTTATGCCATCGAAAAAGGCTTTCTTCCCCCCAAAGCATAAACAAAACGTCCTCTCTCCAGCTCGTCAGCGTGCCAGTGCCCCCGTCAGCTCAGGCAGGGAAGGCCCGTCCCGCTTTGCCGGGGGCTCTCGGCTCCCGCGGTGCCCGCAGTGCTCGGCGGGGCGCGGGGAGGGAGCGAGGAATGCAGGATCGGGGCCGCCGTGATGAGTTCCTGCCCTTCTGCGCCCTGCGCTCCTGGAGATGCTTCGCAGCTTTGTTTCTGCTGCTCTTGGCGCTTAAATAATCAAACTTTGACCAGCTCCCTGAGTGAAAGGAGACAGATCCCTCTGCGAGCTGTGAGCGGCGTGAGCAGGATTGGAAGGCTGGGGATTTATCTCTGTTTAAGTTAGTCTCCCCCAGCTCCGAGCCGCGAGGGGATCATTTATGAGTTCAGTAAAGTGTAGTAAGAATTACCGGTCCCTTAATTGGTTAGCATGGCAGGGGAGAAAGCGGAACGGGAAACCGCCGGCTTGGGGAGGTGCTGCAGCTCTGCTCAGGTTGGAGCAGGTTCCCGAGCCCGTTTTGCCCGGGATCGAGCGGGACTCAGTAGAATAACCCTCGTCCAGGAAATATTTGTTGTTTAATCTTGTAAAGCATGCCTTCGAGCACAATCGAAGATTGAGCATTATCAGGAATTACCGTAGCTATGGAATACCGGGCAAAACAATAAAGCCTGATCGCTGCCTGGCAGAGATTTGGATCGGGCCGTGCTTGGAGGGGAGAGGGCAAAAAGCTCCGGACCGCTTGGGTCTGGACACCGGCAAAGGAGATGCTGACCCTGAACTGCCATCTCTCCGGCCGTTGCTTTCAGCTGGGCACCGAGGCCCGGACGCGGGCGCCTGGTTGGCGGGGCGTGGGGTGATTTACGCCGGAGTGCGACTGGAATCGGGGTCGGGATCTCCGGGGAACAGGCGAGCAAATGTCCCCTGCACGGAGGGGCCAGCTCCTCTCGGCATGCCGGGGCGCTCCCGAGGGGACCTGCTGCCAGCGCTCCCGGCCTGGGCTAGAAAAGTGTCCCCGCTTTGCAGCGGGGCGGGAGATTTTTCTCTCTCCCCGGTGCTGGCTAGAAGGGAACGGCTGCGGAAAGGGGCGCTGGCTGTTTCCCAAAAGTCCCCAGCCCGTCCCGGGGTAGAAGGGTCCGGACTTCCCTCCTCCTCCTCCTCGGGCTGGACCGCTGGGGGTTTCTCCCGGGACATCCCCGGGACGCGCCCGCCCTGTTTGCGCCGGGCCCGCTCCCTGCCCCGCACGGCTGAGGTGGCCCGGGAGGGCGCAGGTGCCGGGGCACGGCGCTGCGCAGCGCTGAGCTGGCAGCCCCGGAGCCGCTCCGGGCAAGCACG